TGGATGGATCGATGGATGAATGGATGGATGGATGGATGGATGGATGGATGGATGGATGGATGGATGGATGGACTGGGTTCCACGGGGCTGCCTCCCAAGGAGAAGAGAAAGGCTGAACTCCACTCTGGTGCGAGAAGGTGGGGGTGGGTGGGCAACAGCCAGAAGGAAGGAAGGCAGGCAGGGAGGGAGGGAGAGGTTACCCGGCGTCTGGAAGTTGAGGGCCACCAGCTGGCTGCCGCAGAGCCACATGGGGAGGGGGTCGTAGTTGGAGGAGTCCAGGCGCTGCCCCTTGGGGTAGATGCGGCTCAGCTGCCGGCGGTTGTACTGCAGGAACTTCTTCCCTTTGCTGCGGTTGGCGTACTTCTCCGCCTTGGTCTCCGGGAAGGACGACATGTCTCGGTAACAGGCTTTCTCTGTGCCGATCTCTGGAAGGCAGAGGAGACCAAGCGGTTGGGTGTGTGTGTGTAAGAACATGGGGGGGGCAGAGGGGAAAAGGGGAGGTTCATAACCTTGCTCTTAGGCCGTTCGTCACAGGGACGTGGCAGCCCCCCCCCCCGGCCTCCCCCCTTCTCCCTGGTCGTCTGGCCCAACCGTGTATCTCCCACACTGTAGGGGGCTCTGGGCATCCAGCAGGGCCAAAAGAGGGCACCAGAAGAGCCAGGACATCAGAGGGTCAAGAAGGTCCCCAGCCTCAGCCCCCTCCCTCCTCGCATTTCCCCACAGGTTCTGCCATCAAGGAGCCTCCAAGGGAACTCACTCTCCTCGTCAAAAGGCACCGGGCGGCAGTAAACGACCAGCTCAGAGAGCTCGAGGGCAATCTTCTTCCTCCGCTCCATGATCTTTCCCTCTTGCATCTACACGGGAGACAGAAGGTCAACGGTCAGAAGGAACCCCGAGAGCATCGAGGCTTTCCGTTCCATCTCTCTCTCTCTCTTTCTCTCGCAGGTACATCCCAGGAATTCTGGGGTCATCGTTCTTGATCCTTGTCTTGGACGTCAATCACAGAGCGGCTGCCATTCTCGGAGAAGAGAGCAAAACCAATCTGGGTCCTCCCTCCCCCCCCGGTGCCCGTGCGCGCTTAGCTATCAAAGCCAAAGGAACAGGGCAGGTTGGAGATTGATTATAAAACTGAAAGGAAAGCAAAACAAAGCTAAAAGAAATAGAAATGGGGGAGGGAAGGATCATATTGAGGCCTGACTCTGAGGATAACATGATGGAAGGCAATAACATGTCAGCTTCTAATTCTGATTAGAAGCTATAGCCGAGAAACCTGCTTCTCCCCACGATGCCTCCCACATTTGTTGGTAGCTCCGTGCTGGACACCAAACATCAAACGTCTGACCCCCGGCTTGGCAAGAGCCCCTCCTATGAACAGACTGAAGAGCCAGCTGAAAGAAGGCACCCAGTCAGCCAACCCTCGGGGGGACGGGGACTCACCCGGGCATCTGCGTTCTGTGTGGCCTCGCGGATCTTGGCCACCCAGTCGTTGAGCTCCTCCAAGGTATCGGCGGCGACGTCCAGCGACTGGGACGGGTTGGTCATCTGCTGGGAATGGATGGTGAAGACAAAGGGTTGGGAGCTCCTCCTGTCTTTGGCGATAACTACAAGGGACACCAGAGGGGGCAGCTTTACTGGAAAAGGTCCCGGATCCGGGGCGTCTCTACCGAGCATGCAGGAGGACCAGCGGGCGGGTCTCCCTGCTCTCCAAGTCACGGGTTGGGAAGGGAGAGGAGAGGAGAGAGGCAGGTGGCTTTGCCTACGGTGGCGAACGCCCCGCAGGAAGGAGAGGGACGCCAGGCGCAGAAATAAAGGCCAGGGCTTTGGCCCATGTGGGAACGAGGGGGTTCAATTTAAACTGGAAAGTGTGAGCGCTTGACTTGGATCATCTAGTTGCTGTGCGTGCTTTTTAGGCTAGGAAATAAAACTCCCTCCCCCGCATTGCAGGGATTCTCCACCGTCCGGTGTCAGCCCTTCTTGAGGCGCCGGAGCCCTCCAGGCCAGGGCCCGCCACCTGCTCCAGAATGGCACGTGCGAAGGCCCCTGGCCAAGGGCTGCATGCCCCAGGAGGCCAGCTGCTGTCTGTGCTCAACGCTCTGCCGAGGTCCTGGGCTCACCAGGAGGCCAAACAGAGCCTCCCTGACCTTCTTATCACCACCATCCCCAGAATCGGCACTCAGAGCCTCGCAATGGTGACCAAAGAGTGCTCTGCTTCTCCCGTCCAGGGAGGCTCGTAGGCAAGGAGGGAACCCCGGCTCCATCAGTGGGGCTGCTCCATTCGAGGGTCCCACCCAAGCCCATGCAACTCCAGCGCTCCTGGCCAGAATCTCAGTACGAGGAACTGGACGGGGGACTCCATTCTTTGCTCACCCTTGCTGTGAAACACAAAGCAGCCACGGAGGCTGTGGTCTGCCTGGTGCTGCTCACTCTGCAGGGCTGCGTGATGCCTGCCTGCCTTCCCTCCTCAGCTTCTTCCTTCCATCCATCAACTCCTTCCTTCCTTCCTTCCTTCCTTGGAAGCTCCAGCCCCACTGGGGCTGCAACTGCTGATGAGAAGACTGGACTCCCTACCCCAAGCAAGCTTAGACCAACTGGTGCCCGGCCTCCCCGCCAAGGGCTGCCCTGCCCTCTTTTCAGCACCAAGGACAGCGATTTTTTGCGCATTCCTCTGGCGCTTTAAGCACCTTTATAGTAGGTATGGCAGACCTTTGCACAGTTTTAACCTCACCTGGCGTTCCACCTTATTGTTTTATTCTGCACTTTTTAAATTGCTATCTCCTATTTTATCTTTGAAAAGGGCTTCCCTGCTGTTCTGAGGTTGACCGGTCCTTTTAGATGGAGGTCTAAATTGTGATGACAACATGTAAAAAAAAGGGGGGGGGTCCCTCCCAACGGTTCCTGGGTTTTGGTGGGCCCAGTGAGGTTTAGGCCTTGAATCCTTGGGGTGCCGGGCGGGCCCTTCCCTCCCACCTCCTTCCGACACTCACCCACATGGCAGGACGGGACGTCAATGAACCCTTTCAGAAAGTTGCCCAGGGGGCTGTTCTCTACGGACTGAAAGAAAAGAAAAACAGAGAAAAGGAGACCGCAGAGATTTTTTAGAGGAAAATAAGACAGGGGTGTATCTGTGTGTCTCTCAGATGAATAACAACAGATGGGGAGGGGAAACATGGGGTCAGGCGGATCGTACTCTGCCGTGTGTCCAGATTTTCCCTCTACGTTCCCAAAACATAGAGTTTGTTGTCACCCTTTGGTTTAACATTCATGACTCAACCACGATCGGTGGATGTGAAATATCTTCTCCAAGCTTTCGTTTAACTCATGTTAAGCTCTAAACGTGGATGGTAGGGGTACACCTGGCCCCCCAGTGTGGTGTCGTGGATAGAGGGGTTGCCATTCCGGCTGAGCCAGGGAAGCTTGTGGGGGGTGGGTGGGGGCAGCACTGGTAAAAAACAACAGCACCCGTGTCTTAAATATCTCACTTACCTTGAAAGCACCCGTCAGCTCCGACTTGACGGCAGAATACAACAGGATGGATATTGGTAAATCAAGACAGACTTTGCCTTGAAGAGCATCTTAATAGGGGTTGTTAGGACAACACACACCCCTCCATCTCCAGTGGGTGATCAAAATGAAAAACCCGGGAGCCCCTCGTCATCAGACACCAGCCAACCACTTCCACTGGCCTCACAAAGTTCTCCACTGTCCAACGAAACCACCCAGTAAAGGTCCTATGGCAAACCTCAACCTCTCCCTCCAGAAATCACTCCCCCCCCACCCCGCCCAAGGTCAATTCTGAAATACCGGAGGGTGCAACCTATGTAAGCCGCCCCGAGTAGACGTTGTCTAGAGGGGCGGGGTAAAAATAGAATGAATGAATGAATGAATGAATGAATGAATGAATGAATGAATGAATGAATGAATAAACCAACCAACCAACCAACCAACCAACCAACCTCACCCATGGGGCTGAGTGGGTGCAAGGGGGTTTCCTCACTCAACTGGGACGTCCCTTCCCTTATGGCTAGACTCTCTGTACTGCCGTTACTTTTTAATTGTATCACCCCACTTGTTGTGAGCCACCCAGAATAGTCAATGGCTAGATGGGCGGGATATAAATATAATAAATAAAATAAATAAATACTTTTCCTAGCTGAGCAAGGCAGTCCTGGGCAACGGGGGGCTGCCACTGACCACGTGTTGATTTGCTGAGAGAAGTGGAGACGAGAACACCAAAACCGCAGGGATCAGGGAGAAAACCGTGGAGGGAGCCAAAGGGGAAGGCCGGGGCTCCCCCGTCTCCTCGGGAAAGAGACGGCCGGCCGGCTGGGGACGTCGAGGCCGGCTCCAGTCTAGGCCTCCAGGGCTCAGCCTAGGGGGCAAAGGCGCCTACGGGATAAAGGATCCCCTTGAAATGGGTGGGATACCTTCTTAAAAAAGCCATTTCAAATGGACAAATCCCTCTACTGCCCAGAAAGTCAGTTTTCACCATAGGTTGGCTTTCTGTACAATACAAGAGGGTACCCATCTTGGTCGTTTGTCCCCTGAATGGATTTTAAGTATTTAAAGCCCATGCTTTTACCTCACAACTGTAAGACAGGTCTTCAATAGATTTTGGATTTGCTATTTTTGAATTCTGGCACTCGGAAGCTACGTAGGCCAATAAAACGTGTGCGAAAATACAAGAACTTTGAAGTTGTTGAAATGACTGCAACCAAGAAAAGCCTTCCCCGGTAGAATTTAGAAATGCTTGTCTACAATGGCCCCATTTCGTCCTGGGATTAACCTTTTACCGGGATAGTGTCAGGTATGACAAACTTAGGAAACTTTTTAAACTGAGTGCAGGCTTCTGTGTATTGGCCCAAATGGCCTGCTTTTAGGTTAGCCTGTAAAGGGACGTCGAGCAGAGTGAAAGTAAAGCCCGACACAGCAAGACAGTTTTCCAAAGTGTGAGCCATTCTAAAATTCACTGCACACTCACAAAGAGACAGCTTCATAAACTGGCCCAGCCAGAAAACTTCAGCTAGGAAGAGGTTCAAATATCGGGTACAAATTTAGTACACGCAGACCAGAACCTTCTGTATGTGTTGTTCCTCTCTCCACAAAAAAATGATATTTTCTTTCGAACTCACGGCACTGTAAGCAGGGCTTGGCATCTAACACGTGATTCAATCAACTTCAAAAATGAAAAGAAGGACAATTAAGGTGCCTTGATAAGAGCTTAAAGCTAGAGTGCATTTTGGTGGAAAAGCTGGTGGCTGTTCTGGCCCCATCGGCCAGCCTTGGGCAGAGGATGAAAGATGGTGGAGAGAGAGAGAGATTTGAACTCACTGCTTCATCCTGTTCTGGCCCAGAGGTGTTCATGATCTCCTCCACATAGTTGGCTGGGAACCAGAGCTGTTTCTTCCCGCCATAGTCTCCTCGCCACCTGAAAAGGGTAACGGGGAGAAGGAAGCACACTGACTTGGGGAGAATTCGGGGTGCGAAAGCTGCACACAATGGTTGGGAACAGTCAGGATGGGAGAACAGGAAAGGGGCTGTCAAAAAACAACATGGCTCGTCAAACAAGCGCGCGCACACACACACACACACACACACACACACACACACACACCATAGCTCGACAGGTGAGGGAAGCAAAAGGGTTCCTTTTGCAATCTGGACACAGGAGCCAGGCTGAGCCGCATCCTGACAACCAGGCTGCGGGCTGAGCGCTCACTGCAAACCTCGTTCCATTTCCCTGTGGCTTTAATGGCCAGAGCTTTCTTGGTGGGAAACCCAAACGGGGGCTGAGAGGATCGTTCGAAGGCCTGCTCTGAAAACAGCCCACCGGCCGCTTCTTTCTTTTCTTCCCTTTCGGTCCTGCCTGCCCCTTCTCCCTTCCGCAGCTAGCAAGGATCCTGCTTCCACCACCCCGACGGCAGGGACGGCCGGTCACGACGTGTTCTCAGATCAGAAACGACGCTTCAGCACAACTGAAGGGAAGGCCCCTCCGCAGACCCACCGAGAGCTTGGGAAAAGTTCCTGTTTTCGAAGAACGACTCCAGGGAATGCCCCGGGCAGGATAGGGTCCCTGGTCTCGCTCTAGCCCAACCCCCCCCTTGGTGCTGCTTTTCTGCAGGTCTCCGGAAAGCAGGGTTCAAAGCGTACCTCCGCGCAGCGCTTGTTCTAAGACCGGGGGGGGGGACTCTTCCCTGACTGGGTGCCGTCCAGAGGAGTTAGGCAGCTCCTTGCAAAACGCCCCGGGAGGGCCCCGGGCGCACTTGCTCCCCTGACCCCAGTTCTTCACTCCCACTTACTCCGAACTAAGTCCCGCTCA